AAAAAAAAAAAAAAAAATAAATATATATATATATATATATATATATATATATATATATATATATATATATATATATATATATATATATATATATATATATATATATATATATATATATAATTTTTTTAAAACCGATATATCCTCATTTAAAAGTGTTTTTTTTTTTTTCAAATTAGTGTCATGTTAGTCATAATCATTAGTGCGAACCAACACAATGATGATGGGCTGAAAACAAAATGTTATTGTGTTCCCGAACTCATGAATGTTTCATACTTGATCTTACGGTCCCGCAGGAGGAAGCCTGAGAGAAGCAGACAGTGAGAGCCGGAGGGAGCGTCGGGAGTCCCGTCTCAGTTCTAAGAGAAGCTCAGAGGAGCGTTCGGCCTCTAGAGACGAGCAGCAGAGGATCCTGGGAGCTGCCATCATGGAGGATCCACCTGTTCAGAGCTGCTGCAGTCCTGCCTGTGAAGACAAGGACAAACGCACATACGATGGTGAGGATTCAGGTTCCTCTTAACATCAATGACCAAACTGACTGTTTTTGTTGTCTGTTATGCAGTTTCTACAGCAAACATATGGTCACAAATACTGTTCAAGTATTATTATTAGTAGTAGTATTAATATTATTGAATTCTTTTTTCCATATATTTCGTGTATATGTTTTTTTTTTTTGTTTTTTTTCTGGAGAAAGTAAATTTTTTTTGTTTGGGCAAAAAAAAAAATCATACAAACAGACATCCATACATTTACAAATATAGTGGGTTGGACAATGAAACTAAAAGGCCAATACAGCATCAATATTGTCTGGGGAATGAAAGATACAAGTCCTGCACAGTGGCCAAAGGGATTTTGAGCCATTCTTCTTCAGAAAAGTGTCCAGGGGCCTTATGTACAAAGACTTGCACTGAATTAATACTAAAACATAGTGTACGGACAAAGCTTTAAATGCCAGTACGCAGCAAAAAAAAAAAAAAAAGATGTATATGTATGAAACACTGCGTACATGGAATCCTACGCATATTCTCTTTGCACATCTGAACTAACGTAAAAGTGAGCGCACGTGCACAAGCACAAAATTCAATTCAATTCAGCTTTATTTGTATAGCGCTTTTACAATGTAAATTGTGTCAAAGCAGCTTCACATAAATGGTCATAGTAACTGGATCAGGGTAGTTCAGTTTTTAGTGTTTAAGTTCAGTTCAGTTTAGCTCAGTTCAGTGTGGTTTAAAGTCATTACTGAGAGTCCAAACACTGAAGAGCAAATTCTTCGATGCGTAGCTCTACCGATCCTAAACCATGCAAGCCAGAGGCGACAGCGGAAAGGAAAAAAAAAAACTTTATCGATAGGAGAGTGAAGAAAAAAACCTTGAGAGAAACCAGACTCAGTTGGGCACGACCATTTTAATTTCTCCGCTGGCCAAAAGTCTTGTGCAGAGCTGCAGTCCCCTCCCTGTCTCCTCCCCCGTATGAATATGGTAATGACTCCACTTTGGCAAAACCAAACGAAAAAGCAATGGCAAAAGCAAGCAGGAAGAGAAACTTTGAACAGAATGTGAATTGGAGGCACTCCTATCGGAGGTAAACCAGAGAACAACTGTGTTATTTGCAAGTCCTCGGGAATTAATAACAAAAGGATAAAAATAGAGTGGGGGAGTTTAGCTGAGGTGGTTAATGCAATGGGGTCTGAACATCGCACTGTGAACGGATTAAAAAAGAAATGGTCCAATGTAAAGGTGCAGGTTAAGAGAAGAACATTGGCGGACCGTCAAAGTGTGGGCCAAACAGGCGGGGGAACAGGGGATGCTGAACTAACAGCCTTTGAGGAGAGAGCTGCCTCAATTGTAGGTGACACTTTACTGTCTGGAGTAGTATTGATGTATTAGAGAAACACTTTGTTAGGGCGGTATAGCAGCACCCCTCAGTTCTAATCAAGGCAGCTCCACCGGCATTTCAGCTGCCCGATGGCATTTGAGCATCACATATTATTTGCACATTTATTAAATGGAATTATTTCCGATTCAGGTATGCAAATTTGTCTTCAGATGGCGCCTTTATGGCAATATGCATGCAGTCGATCTCTCCGATTATATTGGGAAAACCTTAAATACCTGCAAGATATGCGAATGATCCTGTCCCATACAGCTGGCATTGCAAGGCTCAAACACAACTGGCTTAACCCCAAGCGGTCTGCCAGTTCCCTTTGGAAAGAACCTCTTGACAGGATACTTTGTTGGTGTGATACTTTGTAGCGTGCAATCTAACATAATTGCCTCTAGGAGTCACCAATGGAAATAAAACAAACGCACAGCAGAAATCCACGTACGCCCAGTGCCTAATTTGTGAATTGTGAGGTCCCGGAACAGATCAGGATTAGCCAGCCCAGTCACCAGACATGAACATTATTGAGCATGTCTGGGGTAAGATGAAGGAGGAGGCATTGAAGATGAATCCAAAGGATCTTGATGAACTCTGGGAGTCCTGCAAGAACACTTTCTTTGTCATTCCAGATGACTTTATCAATAATAATAATCAACTGGAGGTTATTATTTGTTGATAGGTGAAAAGACTTTTGTCATGTTTATGACCATAAGAAAACAGATGGCAACTGATTTGCTAACTATTTAAACTGGATATGGTCTGAGGAAAAACAAAGACTGGTTTTACGCCTAGATTTAAAGATCTGTAGCATCTGCCTGAGGCGAGAACATTATGTACCAGATAATTCTTGCCATTTAGACTGGCACACTTGTTTTAGTTCTTGAAAAGGCTTAACTTTCACACTAACATGATACATTGATAAATTGTACGTTCGCTCTAAAACATTTTAGACATCATTAGTCCATAAAACACTGCTCGACGGGGTATAAACGGAAAGCAGAGCTCAGACGCAAAAAAACAAAACAAAAAACAAGTATTGATCGAATCAGTCTGCTCCTAAATCCAGAGCTAAAGTATACGAAGAGAGAGAAAGAGAGAGAATAGTAAAACAGGGTCTTTCAGAAGCTTAAGGCCCAGTGCGGCCCGTTTTACAGGCTTTAGGAAAATACAGCGAGCAGCTCTTCTCTAACTCTCCTCAATGAGCACACAATGTTCCCTCCGGCCACAGACAAGCTGAATAATGCCCACCACACCCTGGAGAATGACCTCCACGTGCACAAACAAAAATAGGCAATCACGCAGTTATCATGGGATCGAAACAGAACGGAGATTCCAATAGAATCTTGCAGCTCTTTATCATTGGTCATTATCATTAAGTGGAATAGAAATATTTATAGAAACCTGTTGACCTACACATAATATTATTGTTGTTGTTTTACCGTATGTTTGAGAAAAAACAAGAATAATTGCCGACTCATATTAATCTTATTTTACATCTACAGAATCGTGAGAAAATTGTGATCTTTTTTTTAAGCAAAAAAAAATTGCGATTGTCATTTAGCCAGAATCATGCAGCTCTACTCGCAGGACGTTTGTTTGGAAAACTATTATAGAGTATTCACACAAAGAGAGCACGCATAGTTTGTGAATGGACTTGTGTGACTCTGATACAGTATGGGTCGCAGACTTGAGGCACGCGCAAGTTGGTTATTCAATTCAATTCAGCTTTATTTGTATAGCGCTTTTACAATGCAGATTGTGTCAAAGCAGCTTCACATAAATGGTCATAGTAACTGGATCAGGGTAGTTTAGTTTTTTGTGTTTAAGTTCAAACAATGAAGAGCAAATTCATTGATGTGTATCTCTACCAATCCTGAACCATGCAAGCCAGAGGCCACAGCGGAGAGGGAAAAAAAACTTCATCGATAGGCAAGTGAAGAAAAAAAACCTTGAGAGAACCAGACTTAGTTGGGCACGACCAATTTAATTTCTCTGCTGGCCAAAAGTCTTGTGCAGAGCTGCAGCCTCAGCGAAGACTCGTCTGTCCCAGGAGCGTCACTGTAATCAGTCTCATGCTCTCCACTCCCCCATGACCACCAGCGCAGCAGCTGCTCAGGATACGGCCTGGTCCCGGATATGGAAACCTTGGGATCATCTCGTCGCTGGTCTTGGATCCAATCAGTGACTCCACATAGTCTGAGGGCCTCGGGATGAGTTTACCCAGGTTTAAATGGAAAAAAAAAGAAAATAATTAGCGTAGCTGCTGTTTATAGTGTATATAAACGAGATGCAGAAACTTGTGTGGTTATTATAACCATCGTTACCTTTACATTTGCATAACTGTTTGCTTTATGCAAGAACGTGGTCCCAGTTGATGCGGAGTGGTTGGAAATTTAAGCCACAGTTACGTCTGTAATTAACAGCGAGTCTGTTTTTGTAGTTCGATAGCCTGTTCAATCACAGAAATCAGGAAATGCCAGTACTACTTTAATTTTAATATGTCATTTAATTATTGAATCAAATAATTATAGAATAATATTTAAGTTAATTTTATCTCGCGGCCCACCTGCAGGATTGCTGAGGCCCACTTGTGGACCGCTGCCCAGTTGAGAATCTAAGTTAAACAACTTTAATTTGTATTTAGTTGAACTTAATGTGCAAAAATAACTAAAGCAGACTTAAAATTTATAGAAATGTATTTTATTTCAGCTACTGTAGTGGCAACTTGTCTTATTTTTCATGATGTATTAAAAAAATGTGACTTGAAATTACTAAATGACAGTAAAAATGACTAATTTGAACTCTTTCCAACAGGAAAAAAAACACCAAAAATCAAGAATCCGTGATTAAATGCTGTCATGGCTTTGCAATCAAAATGTCATAATAATGAAAGTCAATGGGGCAAAAACAGCCCACAATATAACAAAAGGGTTGTACATTTGCCTACAGTTTTTGGAAATTTTCAAATCACTTTTCCAAAATATGTGTCAAAGTTTTCAGAGAGATGGGTTGCGGCTAGAAAAGCATCCGCTGTGTAAAAACGTGCTGGATAAGTTGGCGGTTCATTCCGCTGTGGCGACCCCAGATTAATAAAGGGACTAAGCAGAGAAGAAAATGAATGAATGAATAAATGAAAGAGTCAAAATAAGATTTGTCAGCAGAAATCATTACATTTGCTGAAACACAGAGAAGGTTGTGGCCAAATTAAGACTCAAAATCACCCCAGAGTGCATGAAAACACCCCTACAGCACACAAGGGTTCAAATAAAAACCTGTTGCACGTTTGAGCTGTCTGAAATGTCCCAGAATCCCTTGCGTTGGCCTCTCATCCATCTCTGCCCATCCATGAAGGAGTATGAGAGTAATTTCTCTGCTCTGCTCATTTGTGGTGTAAACAGGAGCAGGTGTGTGTGAGAGATAAACACTGGCTTTAGTGTCTCTATTAGTCCTGAGACAGCAATAAAACACCAGCTGACACCAAGACAGAGGCTTTTTACACACAATACAACAGAGCAAACTGGAAATAATACATGCAACTGATAATGTCATCTTGCAAAGTAAAGACAGATTATTTAACTTATTACATCAAATATATTATTATTATATGCCGCCCTGTATATTTTCCCCTAAATTTCTGTTTAACAAAAAGATTTTATCAAAACATTAAACATACTTTTAATAACTCTTTTCATGTCTTTGCCATGATGACAGCATATAATATTTGACTAGATGTTTTTTAAGATACTAGTGTTCAGCTTAGTGACATTTTTGACATAACTAGGTTAATTAGGCAAGTCATTGTATAACAGTGGTTTGTTCTGTAGACAATCCAAAACATATACTGTTTAAGGGGGGTAATAATTTTGACCTTAAAATAGTTTTTAAAAAAATGTAACTGCTTTTATTCTAGCCAAAATAAATCAAATAAGACTTTCTCCAGAAGAAAAAATATTAAAGGAAATACTGTTAAAAATTCATTGCTATGTTAAACATCATTTGGGAAGTATTTAAAAAAGAAAAAATAAATACATAAATAACAGGAGGGCGAATAATTTTCACTTTAACTATAAATTAGTATATATATATATATATATATATATATATATATATATATATATATATATATATATATATATTTTATACATATATATATATATATATATA